GAATTAGCATCAGTAACTAGCATGTGATTTTTCTTAGCTACTCCACAGCAAGTGTCTTCTCATTAAGTCTTAAAATGGCTGAAATATAGCTGTTTAAAGTTTAAAGTTAGCCGTGGTGGCCGTCCTGAATTTTTGATTAGCATTTAAAACTTGGTAAAGAATGTTTTTGTCTACTTTTACACTAGTCTACATCTTTGTATGTCTAAAAATAGCTGAATAATAAGGTTTGACTAGCATTCAGCATGTTTTTTAATTATTATTCTTAGCTATGATCACAACAAATTTCAGCTCAATATTTGTTTTTAAAACAGCTTAATTAAAGCCATTTGGAATTAGCTGTGGTGACCATCTTGTGTGCTATTCTTTATTTATATGTGCCCCCCGAAAAACCCCTAGTGCCAACCCTTGCAAAAAAGCCTAGCTCCGCCCCTGCATCAAAGACTGCCAAAGTGTTTGYAACGCAAATCAATTTTACAGTCATGCACGGTTTGAGAACGTCTGTCACCTCTGTTCTGTATGTAATAGCTACAATATTTTCCAGTTAATAAAAAAATATGGCCAGGTTTTCTGGGTGGTTCAGCATCCTGATATATTGATGAAGGTAATCAAAGCCAGCAATGTAATAATTCTTCCCAATCTTGGCCGTTGCCTAGGCGTGAACTCCTTGGTTCATGGCCTTGTCAGGCTTCCACAATCCTATCTGATTAGAAGGCTGACTGCACATCAGGCACACCTGTAAAATAACACAAACCTTCTGCAAGAAATCTTTCCCTCCAGCAGAAATACATCTATCACGGTCAGCTAATCTGAACAAATGGCTCTGGGAAATAACCATGGAGGGACGGTTTGTTGCACTCATATCAAGTGTTTCAACGTATTGTTACAGGGGCTGACTAGACCGTCCCTGTACTTGTGCCAGAGTCAACATTATTGCATGGTGTATCCCTCTGTGCCTTTGTGGGGATCCGTTAGTGTTTTAATGGGTTTGCCATTTTTTTCTCTTGCTTTGTTAGGTCAGTTTTTATTGGAAGAGTCACGACTGCTGGAAGCAGCGGAGATAGCAAAGAAAGCTGCGCGCCTCGACAGTGGCGAGTTTGATGTGGTCTTCAGTGCAGCCCACATGCTCAGGTAAAGGTTTGGGTTGATTATTTTTTCTTTCACTGTTTTGATTTCTTCTGTTCATTACATACACACAAATGCAGTATTTCTTTCTACGTAGATGAAATGAATGAACTATTTTTCTTGGCTAGATGGGAAAAAAACACTGAGTATGCGAATAAAGTCTGCTTGTCTGCACGGTTTATCCATGGGTTTTCACAAGTGCTCAGCCTGAGTGATTTACTTGGCTGGATTTTCTAATCCTTCTCTCTCCAAACGGTGGAAGACCCAGAAGTGATGCTTTAACTTAGAAATCATTTCAGCTTTTTATGTATAAGCAGTCTCCCTTAAACTTCAAATTTCTCTCCTTCCTTGTCTTGGGGGGGGTTATTATGTATTTTCCAGGCACATAGTTCAATTCTATACCACAATCAAGTAACTAGAAAATTCTGTATATATATATCAAAATAAATTAGACTTTGGATCATAGCAAATATCTTAACGCCTTTGTCTTTTTAAGAACTTCCTACCATTTCAGACACTCCCGCTTCATCATGTTTTAATCAATGCTCCAGAGGAGGGGTGATCTGTGGGCTGAGAGCTCAGCTTCATATTAAACTCCAGGGAGGAGCTTTGTATAAATAGGCGGAGTTTTGTACCAGCAAGTGTTTAGGCAGGTCCACATGGCTACCAGAGGAGATTCAAGGATTTCTCAAACATGCATGAATGAGTCAAAGCAACACTCTGAGTTAGTTTTTGATGAGGGAATGGTGTTATAACATGATATAAAGCTTAAAAAAGTGGATTTTTCACAGTGCAACCCCTTGAATAAGTTATTGTAAGGCTTGCTTTAAATCAGTGTAAAGTTTAGCAGATGGGCTTTAGCTGAGGAGCCCTCATGCTGTTGTGTTTGTGAGGCCRTGTGTGGAAATGAGTAAACACTGTAAAGCAATGTGCCAGCTCACTGAAAGCTGCTCAACTGATTGAAGACTGTTTAATCCAGCAGAGAGATCTTTGTTTAATCTCATTATGCCTCAACATTCTGATGATGCAGTTATCTATACCACCAGTACTTTCCAGTATAGAGAACCGCTTTCAGGGTTCAGAACCCTGGCAGCYAAAGAGCCTTTTAAGTAGTGTTTTGGTTGAACTCATCCCTAACTGCTTGGCATGGGGTCCTACTCCTCTCCAGCTCAGGCTCTTTATGTGTTTGTCTTGGACGCAGACATGGAAAGGCCTTTGGATGATGTGGACACAAGTGAATCCACGCAGGAGAAGAGAAGGGATTGCAAAGAGAAATCAGAAGCTTGCAAATGTGTGCATGCCATTTTTTTATTACCCTGTTGAGTTTTTGGTTTTTGAGCATGTGTCTTTCAAACCAATCATTTTCTTCTGCCTCTTTTATACTGTTTTACTTTAATTGTGGTACATGTGTATAATGTGAATATTGAAATGCACAGAAAAATAACCAATTGGATAAATGTTTTTTTATCAGTCAAAATGTGGCACAAGTTAAAGGGAGGATATTATGCAAAATCAGCTTTTTTGATCTTTTTATCATGTTATACTGTCATTTYCTCATCAAAAACATACCCAGAGTGTTGCTTTAACATCATCATTTACCCAGAATGCTTTGCATGTGAATAAAATGGCCCCGTCCATGTAATTTATGTTTAAACTTTTAGTTTAAAAATGAAAAAAAAAACTGAACATCCTACAGTATTTTTACAGTCTTTATTTTACAGTTAAAATATATGTTTATTAAATAAAGTCTAATGTTACAACTAATCATGGATCCCTTTAATTAAAAGTCTAGAAGTACCATAGTCTGATTAAATGCCCAGATTTACTAAGCTTCGACACAGTTAACCCAAACTTTTGTTTGAACATTCAAGTCAGCTCTGTATGTATTTTATGTTACATTTTTCTACCATGAAGTTATTATAAGATAAATCAAACGTCTCCTTGGTCAGGGATGAATCAAACATTTTGATGTCTAAGGAAAAGGTTTTAAATCAAACATAAATCCACTATATTCTGCGGTCACTTTGATCTGAAACTATACACCCAGTGATCTTGTAATAGGCTCTGACATCCTAAATGAAACTGTGGTCCCAGCAGCTTTGTAGTCGTTGATCTAGGCAGTTTATGTGGCTCCTTACCCTGCCATCAATGACCATGTCTTTGACTTTAAATCATTTTGAATTCAGCAATTGTTACCATCAGTAAGAACCTGTATTTGTGGTCTGGTAACAAAGAAACTGTATATTATTTGCAACTGAACACCTTCCCTGTATGGTTTCAGTGATAAACAAAAATGTACAATGTTAGTTCCTCATCCACACTGCCTTCTTCTCTTTAAAGCACCCGATGAACCAAATTTCCTGACCTCAAGGTTCCATTAGAGCAGAAAATGTTTGTTGTGCACTACTCAGCACAGATGTTCTCAAGTGAAAGACGCTATTGAACGAGAAACCTGCAGACCACTGGATCAGCTTTTCACATCCCTCTTGTTGTTTCCTCATGTTATTTTCTCACTAACCCCTGGGAACCAGTAAACACACCGGGTTCAAGGCCTCAGCCGAAGCCAGGAGCAATAAAAATGAGTAATGATGGCCTCTCTCTGTTTTCCCTTTTCAGACAAGCCAACCTTAATGAGGCAGCCGAGAAGTATTACGGACAAGCAGCGAACCTGAGACCAAACGTGAGTAAAAGTTCGACCTACTATTCTTCCTCATTACTATTTACTTTGATGGACAGAGTGCAATCACCGACTGGGTGGCTTTCCAATATCATTACTGGCTACTCTGCCTCCTCACAATAGGATTCCTTGTCACTGGAGCTCAGAGTAATGAGGGCTAGGTTTTTACTGAGCTCAGAAGTTTGCTTGTGCAACATCCATCAGCAGCTTCAAATTAGAGGCCAGGGTAAGCAGATTGGAAAGATTAATGGTAATAACACTCAGTCAGGGGACTGTGACATCTTGAAAATGAATGGGATTGAGTGTTTAGGGGCTCTGACAGGATGGGTCAAGGTATTTAGGAGAGGGTCGCAGAAGATGGAAGTATGTAAACATGTGGGCATCCTGTTTGTTCATGTGTCTTCATTACAAAACAGACGGATATTGATTCAACTTGTTATACAGAAACCATGGTTTGGCATTTTATACCAAAACCCTGGAATAATATTTACTATAAATGACAAACAAAACCAACTCAAGCTTGTGGATTACTGAGGTTAAGACTTCACATTTCCAACAAAGATATGAAACTGATCCCTGAATCCATTGTTGTTTAAAATATCTGTATGGAATCCAAATTTTGCTAAGTATCTTGTATTATTGACATCTAATTAAACCAAATGCTAAATTAAAAGAATATTTAGTCTTGTTGCGGCAGCTAAAACCAATATAATACAAAGGATATGCAATTATGCATTTTATAATGYAGTTTAATATAACAATGTATTGCCTTAAACCAGTGGTTCCCAAACTTTTCAGCTTTTGACCCACAAAATGCCAGCAGCAGAAACCTGTGACCCCAGCTGTTGTTGGTCGATGAACATTGGTTTCACGTCAAACAAACAAGAGCATAGTAACATTATTTAATACTCTCTTTTTGTCCATTTTAAGTACACTAACTTTACTCATTTGTCACAACAAAGGCAAAAAATTATTGATAGTTGTAATTTTTTAGTGTAATTAATTCAGAAAATCTTTTCAGGACCCCACCTTGATGTTTCGGGACCCCACTATGGGTCCCGACCCCAACTTTGGGAACCACTGCCTTAAACTATGCTGATAACTTTACAAAAGTAAATTCTCAACATAAAAACAACTAAAGCTGTGCTTTACAAAAAAATAATTGTTGTGTGATGTCTAGTTTGATGCTAGTTAACTCACAAACTCTTAAAATGTGCATTTCCTGCATTATATTATTAAAATATTAGGGGAATAAAGAGAGGCCTTTATGTGCAGCAAACTAAAGAGTTGTCCTGGATAACTTTGATCATCGGGCCTTCAGGCAGCACCGCATTAAAAACAGACACGATTCTGCAGAGAAAATCCCTGCACAGACTCAGAAATATTTCTGAGAACCACTTTGAGTGAGCACAGTCCGTCCCTTCATGTACAAATGCAATTTAAAGTGTTTCCATGCAAAGTTAAAAAAAGAAAAACTTCTTTTTTTGAATTTGATGCAGAGAAGCTGCTGCTTTAGCCCAACCCTGCCTCTGTTAGCTTGAATTGAAGTGACGCTAAAAGCTGTCAGGTGGTTTGCATTTTTTTTGAGCTCTCTAAAATGGTTGCTATGTAAAGGAGATGTTTATTTTATCACCACGCTTTCATGATAGTGTGGAGGAGCTACAATGAATTATTTAGCATCGAAAGGAAAAGTTAATAATAGTGAGATGGTCATCAAATCTTTTTTACCTATTAGTTAGTATACCAACCTGTTTAGAGAGATGTTTTTTAGAGATGTTGTTTCCTTTTTTGAACAATGTTTATGTCATTATTTAAAAGACATTTTGTAAAATACGAACATGAGGTGTTTCCCACAACTTAATTTTTTGAACTTTTTTGTGTAATTTTCCTAAAATGATATCTAATGAGTGGCTGCAGACACACAGACGTCCACATCCAAACACTGAGATTCTTTTAGTTCCAGTTTGGCCTCATCTGTTTCTGTTTTTTTTTTTTTTAACCATTTGTTTCTTACCTTGGAGATAATGTAAGGTTTTCTTACATCTTACTTTTATCTTCTGTTCTGTTTGATGTGATTGTGTACACGCCCTATCTTTGTTAGTTCATACCTTACCGCAGATCGACTCCTAACTCTGCAACACACTGCTGTTTTACATTAAGCACATATGTCAGCTGTGCCTGACAGACAACCTTTTTCTTCCATTTAAGGAATTTATTCCCTTAGTCCTTCAATTTGCTCTTTCTCTACAAGCCAAATCCCAGTTGATTCTTGGTTGGACTTGGTTGCTTTCTGCACCATAAAACACTTGTCCTTTCAAAGTTTTCAAACCCGAAAGGAAAATTTTGCATAAATTATTCCCTTAAGTTATTACAGCCGAGTTACTCTTCAACATTTCTTCTTGTAAAACGCTCATAGTTGATGCACTTAAAGTTGCTTTATAATCATCATTCTTTTGTTTCTCTATACACATTTTGTCACAATGGGGAGGCAAAAAGTTAATATCCATCCATTCATTCATTGTCTATAACAGATGTGCCCAAAGTGGGGCCCGCGGGCCAAAATTGGCCCACCGAACCATTTGATTTATAAGATTGTAATTATGTTAAGATTAAATATAAAATACAAGTAACTACAAGAGACATTTAGATTAGATTTAAGCCCATATATAGATTTGCACACTTTATAAGACCCCGTACACTCAAATTTTAAATTATGAAAAATCCCATGAGTCTTTGCTGCCTGAGCATACGTTGAATTTTCTCCATGTCCATGGGCTGGAAAAAAAAACTAAAGAATGTGGGCAACCACACTGGCTGCTAGCTTAATCATAAAAAATTAAACAACTTTACTTAAGTATTAAGCATTTCTTATATTATTGCATTTGGCCCGCGTCTCTCAGATTGATTTTAATTTTGGCCCGCTCAGGAAAAATGTTTTTTTAATTTTGGCCCTCTCAGCGAAAATGTTTGGGCACCCCTGGTCTATAGCATCTATATTATATACAATTCTAAATAGTTGGCTTGTGTCACAAAATATTAGTAAATTTGTATTTGATTACAGCAAAACCCATCATAAATGACCATAAAAGTAACAATAACATGCTGGAATAATTACACCTTATTTACCTTTACTTAATCATTAATAAATGTTTAGTTAGGCTTATAAGTTAAGGGTGATTTATATTTAATAAACTATAAATAAACACATTTATTAATGTTTTTACCCATAAAGGCTAATTGCTTCCAAATCCAACGTGCTCATTGTTTATTCATGCTTAATAATGCATGAATTAACAGTTATTGTACTGTACTATATTGTGTGTATATGTATGTAAATGCTCATATAAATATACAAGTTTTGACAAGTATTCATGGTTGGAGAATGTTTGAATTGACCAAGATTTCAGTTTGATTTCCACAGGTGAAAAAGAACTTGTGGCTCCTTTTTTACTTTCTACATTAACAAATACATAAAAAGCATAAATAGTCTTTACTTTAGAAGTGTTCACAAAAAGACTTAAACTACTAGCAACCACCTTAATTATTGATGCACTGCAGGTTTAGTAGATAGTCATTTCAACCATTCTGTAACTATTATTATACATCTAACACAGGGTGTGAAAGTACATTTGAATATAGATACAGTAAATATAATAAGTAATTCATGAGTTGTTCAGCATGAATAAATAATAAGTATGTTGGTTTTGGAAGTAATTAACAATTAATGGGTAAAACATTTAAAATATATATTTTTAGCTTATTAAGTATGAATCATTCTTAATGAATGATGTTTTCAAGGCTAAATAACCATTTATTAATGCTTAAGTAAGGCTAAATAAGGTGTAAGGCAAAGTAACAAACATGGCAAAAAAAAGTATCCTGATGCATCTCAGTAATCCAGGTAAAAAATCAAAAAGAAAAAAATTGTATAGGTCTTCTGGAC